AAGCTCAACTTTCGCTCGGCACTGTAAAATTTGACGTTTACGAAAAACAGTGTGGTTTTTAGCTAAGATAAAAATCTTAGTCTTTAGAATTTTTTTTTTTTGCAAACAATACTTACTCGATTGAAAAATATGAGCTAAAATGCTGGACCAGCTTTTTTGGAGAACAATTTTATGTGAGAAGGTATTCATAATCTTCATCGTTAAATTGGGAGGGAAGAAGTTTGTTTTGTAAATTGACTTATTTTTTCTGGTTCAAACGAAAAAAATAAGGTACTGAATAACAATCTGCACGTGATAAGGTATAGCTTTAAAAACATATAATCCCCTATCCATTCAATTATTTTTTTGGTTCAAACCAAAAATAAGAAATTTTAAAAACAATCCACACAAAGGAAGGTAGCTTTAAAAAATATAATCCTCCGTCTAGTTACGCAGCATCGATGCGAGGCATCCAAAATAATAAAAACTGTGAGTAGTCAATTCAATGCTCGAAATAGAACTTGGCTTGAAAAATAAAATTCAGGCAAATGATAGGCAACAATGCTGAAATTTATTGTTCTTGTGTTTCTTACGTTATTTTCCATTATCAAAAAGATAGCGTTAAGTGAAAGGAAGCTATCTACATTTAGATATGGGTCGTGGTTATGATATACTCAAATGGCAAGGAGAACTCATGTCAGAGTATGGATGACATTAGTTCCATTTCATGCAATCCAAATGTGCTTACGAGAGTGGAAAACGATTTTCTATCAGAGCACGTGAACGTAGTTATCAGTGGCTGAAGTTCGTAAAATCAACTTTTTCTTTCTTGAAAATATTTTGCAATCTCAAGTCATTAAATTTGCAACGTTATCAAGGTTTGTGGGGAATATGGAAACATGGAGGAGTCACTTGTACAACCTACAAAGTATAATGCTTAGGAGAGTAGTCTAATTACATGATAAAACTCTTCATTCAATCAAACTTGACTTCAGTTCAGAGTTATATTCATTCACATCTTCAAGATTCAGATTGTTTTTCTGCTCGGTGAGCCGAGTGCATGTGAGTTCATAGGAAGTCTATTTATCGTGAAGATATATTCTGGCGCCATCTTTAGTACCTTCAGATTAGGATGCAACAATTCTATGTCCCAGAGTCATGAGAGGGTTACGAGAACATATATCTTGATTCCAGTGTTCCAAAATATCCTCACCTACTTTTTTTTTTTTTTTTTAAAGAATATTGTTAGACTTTCTTGTACAACGTTTTCAAATAATATTCTTTAAAGAGCAGAAAAAAATAAAAATATAAAAAAAATTTCCAGGAAATCAAAATTCGAGGAATATCTGTCATGTGGAAAACTGAGACAAATTTCTTCGTTTCGTCATTTCAGCATGGGGACGTACAGCAGGTTTTAAAATCCCCTAAATTTAAAGGGTTCCACTTACAAATAGTTTAAATGGTTTTGGTTCACCACTAGATTCTTAGCAACCTTTCGGCATATGTATTATTAGCCTCTTAAAAGGTATTTATAGCAATGTTGAAGACCTTTTTAAATCAACGATTAAGTCTATAAGCTCGAGGGATTTTTGCTCTTAATCCTCAATAGAGAATGAAGAAAAAAAATCTCCAAAATTTCATGTCGATGTAATGTACATGTACTTCATGAAAAGTAATGATTGGAGCTACTGAAGAGCTTACACAGATTGGCGTATTTGCAAACAAAACATACATTCCCCTAATCTTTAGCAAGGAGAGTATCTTGAGTGGACCTCATACGATAAGCCAGAGATTTTTCATTACAGTTCGAGTGGCTAGGTCAACGTCTATTGGACTCACAACTTTTTCTAAAGGTTGAATAGTTTATAAAAAGAACCCTTCATGGTGTAAAAAATTCACCCATATGGTCATTTTGATTGGGTATTTCTTTTTCCCGGGATTGTTAAAATGTGAAAAATTAATACTTGTTTTAAATCGAAATTAGCAAGAAAATTGCACGCACAGAATTGAGCTTCTTCTCTAGAAAGAAGCTGTGGTTGTTCAAGAAAAGTTATGCGTAGTGCGGTTTAGCAGTGGCGCGGCATTTTTTTTTTTTTTTTTTTTTCCTTTTTCTGGTGCCTTTTTCTGTTGCCCCATGCACTGCGACCTCTCGATCTATTGTGCCCAGTTGTTGGTTCCTGGTTGGTCACAGAAGCCCTCCCCTTCAACAAGTTGGAGGAGAGTGGGCGCGGCATTTATGGAAGGAAAGGAAGCACTGCTTCCCATACCTACTTTTAATAGACATTGTGTAAAGGTAACTATTTGCAGAGTGTCAATAATTTAAAATTTAGAACAGAGGTAAGAGTTGAGTCAATACTTTTTTTGAAAAATCGAAATTTTAGTTACTTCGCTCTAACTAGTTTCCGACAGTGACATGTGAGAAAAAAATTAGTTATAGAGGTCACTTTTTCTCGATGTGTAAGTTTCATTGGTGTCGAGAGGTGAACAGCGCCCAAATGTGCAAAATTTCAAAAGTGCAAACCCCAAAAGTGAGAAATGCATAGTCCAATGGCACAAAGGGAGAGTGTCCAGATTCGCCCCTATAACGTAAATCCCGAAATAAAGGAAAACATTCACATGATTTTTGATGGCGCTTCGACTTATATTTTATGCTGGGAACTTTCGGCCGGTATCAAGGATTGTTCTTTAAGGTTTCCGTACTTACGCGTCATAAGTATGTAATCCAAACAAAGGACAACTCATTTATATACATTAAAGGAAATTCTAAAAATCTAGCTCTGTCACCCAATTCTTTCTTTTTTCCGATTTCAAGGACCGGCTATACATTACCTATAATATATTTTAGCAATCAATGCATTTTGGGAGACATTGACAATGTGATGATAAAAATCAGTAATTGTTTACTTCAGAGACTCATTGGGCGACGCTGAAATTAAGTTGAGGTGTATGACAAATAAGCAAAGCGCCCTCAGTTCGTTTCGCATACGACGAACACTAAACGAATTTCATCCGGCGCCTGGATGCAACTATTTGAACTCCATGGATGTCCGTGTTGCATAGGCACGGAAATGAAGGCGTTTTGACTTAGCTCTCCGAGCTTTCACCGCTTCATCCGTTCCGTGGTGCGACGAGGAACGTGGAATTGTACCCATACGGTGGTGCCACGAATCATTTTTCAGCTATGACAGTTTTTTTCTAGAGTCACATGAATCTTTCGTCCTTACTACCCTTAATGCACTAATAATTGTGGTGCCATACTAGTAGTAAAAGGAGAGACGATAAAATTTATGTTAACCCAGCCACTATGGTTTGGCTCAAATTTATAGATACAAATTGCAAAACTTACCCACGAGCAGTATTTTTGGATCATTTTCCCTCATTATAGATCATACTGCTTTACTTTGAATATGAACATGGGCGATGTGATAGCTTGAAGATACATACCTACAAAAGAAAACAAACAAAAAAAAAAAAACCATCAGTGATGTTTCATACTTCATTTTACATTTACAATAACATGAAATATTTCATTCTAAAAACCCTAAATGTGAATGGATATCTCTTGCATACTGCCGTTCGAAAGTTTGATGCTCTGAAAGGAAGATCTATAAGAAAAAAATCATTCACCAGGATTATGTGTCATGCAGGGATAAAAAAAAATTAATACGACAGATCGAATTAGACGTACAAAGTTGCTGAACTCTAAACTGATTTGATAAAGTAATGTTCCCCAGACGATCTTATCACACGTGGCAATCGTTAAAATGTTAGATGGAATTGGCATAGGATTGATAAACATCAAGAAAATAAGTGCATTCTTCTCCTCGTGAAGACTTTTAATCCGTCGCAGAAATTGCACAGCCAACGAATTTCTTACATCTGCAGCCAATGGTTTCGTAACTCTGTTATGACGGACGCTTCAATAGCTGACAATGAGCTTTGAGTTGAGTTTCGACCAAATCAAGGCAGAACCAAAGACTGAAAGAAAACTCATGCTACTTTTTACTAATCATAGGCTGATCCAATGGGACATAAGGGCGTACGTCCCCCTCCTCCGTCCGCCCGAAAAAAGGAGGGAAAAAAGGGAAGAAAGATAGAGGGGGGAACATAGGGAAGAAGAAGGAAGGGCGCTCAGACTTTGTACTTATTCATGGCGAAATTGATTCAAATTGCACATCAGATGCTTTTAAAGTTCGAAAAGTTTCTTGAGGAAGCCTCCCGGACCTTCTCACCACCCCTCCCGTTCGAAGTATCTGGATCTGGGGGCTAATTGATGAAATTGATAGACAAGGCGATAGACAATGAAGACATAGGCAGTATTGAGCGATCCTACTGGTTGAATGGTTGGTTCCTACATTTTGTATTTTTTATTTTTCCGACTATAGCGGCTATAGCGGCTATAGGCTATAGCGATGTTAAATGAAATCCTCTGGGATCAGCGGATTTCCAAAGATAACAAGAGGAGGATATACAACGCTGTAGTTAAAAGTATATTAACATACGGATGTGAAGTTTGGCAGCTGAAGAAACGGACACAGGATATGCTAAGAGCAACGGAGATGGATTTCTGGAGAAGGTCGGCAGGAATTTCTAGGAGAGATCGGGTCCGTAATGATAGAGTGCATCAGATAATGGAAGTCGAAAATGACATCGTGTTCGACGTCATGACCAAACAACTTGTTTGGTATGGTCATGTCAATAGGATGACGGAAGAGAGGCTGCCAAAAAAGATGCTTGATTGGGTTCCTCCTGGGAGGAGGCGTAGGGGACGCCCAGTGAGAGGTTGGCGACAGGGGGTGTTAAGTGAGATGAGGGAGTGTCAACTCCCTGATAACCTGTGGGAAGACCGAGCTTTGTGGCGATTAGGTGTCGCAAAGCGCCAAAGAGCGCTATAACAGCGACTCGTATGTATGTATGTATTTTTCCGACAAGTTTTCGGTTGTTGATCATGAAGAATGGCCCTAAAACCTGGAGCGGAAGCTTATGCAGAAGCCCCACAACCATAGGTCATACGATTCCACCTACTCGGTAATCTCTCACTTTTAGAAGAACCTCCGGGAACTTTCCTCTTCCCCGAACTCGAGTTCCCCGGGAATCTGTGACCCTTATTGGCTGGGCCGGTCACAGATGGATTCCTCCAGTGTCCATGCTCTTGAAAGGCATTCTAGAGGCATTGAGTGACCACGTGGTCTCCGTTGAAGTTGGCGGTCAGCCGCAACGTTGGGTGCGATCCGAGATCCGGGCCGATATTTGCGTAATGGGTTAATCTATTACACGTCGCCCCGCGCCGGGCTTGGCGGGTCGCTGCAAATTTATCGCCGTGTCGCCGGTGGAAACGACAATACCGGCACGCGATTGGTCTACACCTGAGGACATTGTCATTTCGCCGGACATTACCTGAATTTTGTGCATGGGCGAGACGGCAATTTTTCGCTAATTGACATCGGCGCGGAGAAAGTACCGGTTCTCGATGATCGTTCGACTCTTCGTCAATAATTGTCGAGAATTTATTTGTTTGTTTTGAGCCCCCGTTGCCAACAGTTCCAAAAGAGCTGTTTCGGCTTTTAGTTGACCACTATACCGCGTGCTAAGGAAGAACGCCGTATGAACAGTCGGGAGTTGCCAAATTCCCTCCGATGAAACATGTATTTTTGACGACATTCATGCACATTTGTCTTTGAAATTTTCATAAGTTTTAGATTAAATTGTGTACGAAAATGTCTGAAAATTTTGAAAAATAATATTCACAATTTTCCCAGTAAATTCAGTTTTTATTGGAAGAAACTTGGTTACGTCTGAAGACTCATACGGCGTTCTTCCTTAGTATGGCAGTATATGGACCGAGTTTATCAGAAAGGAACCAAGCCACATCAGCTATTGCCAAATTTCATCTGGCAATTTTTTGGCGCGTATACGTAGTATACCGCCTTTGCGATCGTTTCGAACCCTGCTCGATACAATAACCGAGTCCCTTAGTTCCTTACCGAAAAGTGACTACCGCGAACTTCTGAGATTTTCCAAAGCGTGTAAAAAGTTTATTTATCCATCAATAATTATGATTTAAAGTTGTTTCTCATTCTGGGGCTCATTAGTTTATGTGCAGTGAATACCAAGAGTCTACGTTACTTGGTTTTTTCAAAAAAAGCCTAAGAATGCGACGCGCTGATTTAAAATATGCATATATAAGCAGAATCAAGCGAATTGATTCGAGGATGGCTGAGCAGGTCGACACTCTCGAAATGAGAATTTAACTCCTCCGTTTTGTTCAAAACGTTGCTTTGACAGATCTGTAACCTCGGTTATACTTTTCAAAAGTTGGTACCCGTGCTCTGATAGTGCTGTTCATCTGACAACAATGTCAGTGTCAGCTGATAATAATATTTTTATCATATGAGGTTAATAAAAAGTTTTCAGTCAGTCTTTGACATCCTGAATAATTGTCTTGGTATTTATTTACTAATTTTACAGAATTATATTTTATTTCTTATTAAAACTAAGAAATACAGTGCAATCTGTGTAAGTTCAATCTGTGATGATCCTCGAGACTCATTAGACCATTAGCTAAACGTGGCTCATACAGGAATCCACTTACCCCTCTCTTCCCCATACGCTCCTGATCACTGCGTCGGCGTCTCGACGAACAATAGCTAATGACGGTCGCCAAGCTAGGCCGGGATCCTCAGCCCCTCGCCCAATTACTTACGCTTCATTAACCATTTCACCGTCACGCTAGGATTCGTCCAATTTTCAAAAAAAATTGTTTCGCGAGTTTTTAGCAATTTTTTCCTTACTCTCCGTTAAAACACGAATTAAAAGAGGTCTCATTCATAAAAATCGGCCAAATAGAAGAGAAGTTACAGTATTCGAAATCCGAAGAAATCAACAAAACTTCTCCAAACAAAAAATAAAATGAAGGGGGGGGGGAATGTATAAATTACAATTTAATATGATTGACCTCAGAATGTGACAAGCAATTCAATTATAAAAAGGAGAAAAAATTGAGTGAAATTACAAAAAATTAGCCTCTTGCAAGGGGCTTCCTTGTATGAGTTTTGACCTGAAGACAAGTAAATCCCGTTATATTATTAAAACGAAATTGACTCCATAGTTTAATGCCTTAGTTTCTTGAATACGATTATTTTAAGCTCTCGAAAATTTATACCAGCAATTTTACCCATGGGGTGATTTCCTGAGAGCTGATAATATCACGAATTTCTCATAGAGCCCTTCAAAAATGGCTTGCTTTTTGGGCAGCCGATTCGGCCATCAAACCGGGGTTTAAATGGAAGCTGATAATAACACAAAGCTCTGAGACAAATTTTGAGATGAGTATAGGAACGGTTTGTAAATTACGAGGAGAGGCGGGCATTCTGTTCAGCATATCGATACATAAGTATTTTCACACGTAGAATTTAATTTTCACGTCAGGGAGTCGACATATTTTGATTTTTTCGATTTTATACGGAAAATGTATGGTTTTTCGGGATTGAAATTACTTACAATTGTTTCATGAAAAATGAATGCACCCAAAGTGACTATAGCATTTTGACTTTCACATACGTGCACTCACTAAATCGATTGGTAAATTCAAAGAGTGGGTACATCGACCTGGTATATCAAGTTTCTGCAATTTTTCACGGCAAATCGGTAGATTTTCGGGATGTGGATTGCTTACTTTCAATTCATGAATGAATAAAGCATGGACATGGTTGAGCTTCTTTGCATGAAAAGACGTTTAAAATAACAAAATCAAGACATATTTAATACAATTGCATTTATATCGAGTCAATTTCTTTTCAATAATATAACGGGATTTATAATACCGGTGATTTGGGTATTTTAGCCCCAAAATACCTTTAAATCGACTTATCTTCTAGGAATTCGACAGAATTTTTCCTTTCTTCGCTTAAATTTTTCCGTAGCACTTTTCTTCAAGAATCTGATAAGATTTTGCTTGAGGCGGATCAAAAAACTTAAATTTGTTCGAATAGCTTTCTAGATTCACAATACACGGTCTCGTCAAGGTGCGTCGTTGACCTTGCAGTGTTGGATCGTGAATTCTCTTGTTGTGCTGCTTGCCTTTTTTGAAATCTCTGTAAATGAAAACTAAAGGGGTTGATATGTGCGAGTTAATGACGCGCCTTATCAACACATTGTGTTGGAGTTCACTGCTTGTTTTTACATGAAAACGGTTGTGCGGATTTGTGTGCAAATGTCAGTGAATTTTCTGCATAGTACAGAGGAAATCCTTTAAAATTTTCGAAGGAATCCGCAAAAACGTTCTCTTGTGAAAAATAAAATTGCCCAGTTTAATTTGGCAACCGCTAATGTGGCTTGGTTCCTTTCTGCTGAACGCTGTTCATACATACCGAATTCAACAGGAAGGAACCAACCCGCATGAAGTTGAAGCTGAGAAAAAGAGGTTTGAAGTTTCATTTCTCCATGTAGCTCAATGTAGAAAATAAACTTTAACCCCTCTTAACACAGTCTAATTTTTTGTTCTCGACTTAGAGTTTTTTGGAGGGGAATATATACGTCTGAACTCAAAAACATTTTTAACTCAATTTTTTTCGAAAATTTGGGTTGGCTCCTTCCTGATGAACTCGGTCCATATAAAGTTAAAAATAATGCGCCACGGTACGTGTTTTTTCATCGAAAATTTACGTAAAATTTTGTGGTCACACCAAAAATTTGAAAAACCTCATAAGTGGAAAAAAAGCGTTTCATTTAATCGCGAATTCAGACTTCCTGCCTACACTGGAAAAAAAAACACATTGGATCTAGAGTCCAGACTCTTGAAAACATTGACAAGAAAAAATACTCTTGATTCAATCGGAGTTTTGCTTGAATAAAAACGAAATCCGCTTAAATTAAGAGGCTTGGTTCTTGATTTAAGCTAGATTCAGATTGAATCAGGAGTACTTTTTCTTGTCGATGTTTTTAAGAGTCTGGACTCTAGATCCAATGTGTTTTTCTCTTTCCAGTGTATCAGAAACCCAAAAATATCTTAAGTCGAGTTGGTCACAAAGTAACTTAAATGTGATTTTTGATCCCTTAAATGGGTTTTTCGGCGAGCTGAAACATGCAAAAACATGAGTAGAGATTTGCAACATCGCAACAGAGCGGTCACATTTTTGACCGTAGCCATTCACATGTTGATATGAGGCCATATTCACCATCAGCGGGGCAAATCAGCGCAGCCTTCATTTCGTCGAGATTTTAAATTCGCGATTAATATTCAAGATCAGATCGGCAGCGCTGTCTCATTGAATCGCAATGGCTCGCGAGTGCGACAGTGGTCGCGTAATTAGGTAAATATTTTGACGCGCTCAACAACTGCCGCGACCGTTGCGTTCGCGCCTTCACCTGGTGGATTCTCAATGACCGCAAACTATTTCTTCTGGAGCAACAAACAAAAACATCGTTGATGGAATCTATCTCCATTCACTTGTTTCCAATCCACATTTTTCTCTTCAACCCAATCGTACTTTCCGTATGGTGTGAAGAGAGTGTATATTATACCAATAACACAAACTGGGGGAAAAAAACACATTGGATCTAGGGTCCAGACTCTTAAAAACATCGACAAGAAAAAGGACTCTTGATTCAAGCAGATTAATTAAGCTTAAATCAAAAGGAAATCCGCTCAAATTAAGAGGCTTGGTTCTTGATTTAAGCAAAAATCTGATTGAATCAAGAGTATTTTTTCCTGTCGATGTTTTTAAGAGTCTGGACTCTACATCCAATGTGTCTTTTTTTCCAGTGAGGTGCATTTTTTTTATCAGGCGAGAATCAAGAAATTGTCATCCCTCGGCGAAAGTATCACAAGCGCCATGCGAGGTTTAAGTATTTCCGTCGCCATTTTATTTTTATTTTTTTTACAGAGAAATTATTCAGCAAAGCTGTCCGAAAATTTGATTTTCTTTGTGCTGCCGATAAAATTCAGAGAAATTTTCAAACAGACTCAACCAACAATTTCTCTGGAAAAAAAAACAAAACAAATAGCGGCGGAAATTTTGAGTCG